ATATCCCAATATAAAAGAACACAAAAAGGCACATTTTAAAGTGAAACAAAAACTTTGAACTTATTACAGTTTTAATTACTACGAAAATACGTACAGTAGCCGACAGCAAACATATGATTATTATTTTAAGGTGCCACATAATACCTGAAAGCAAATATCCAATTTGCTGCCCTGCTTCAGAAGACATTGGGGTTGATTTACTAAATGAATAGAGCATGTTCACTTTCCTAAGTGATCTTTCACTTTGTAAGGGAAATTTCACTTAGCTTAGTGAATTAAGTGAGACTATGCTTCCTTCATTCATCCAATCATGTAAAAGCAAAAATGCACAAAGTGTGCAAACATCCTGTTTTTTTCTTTTCCTTACACATGATTGGGTAGTCCTTCTTATGTGAATTTTCAGCACATTTACTAAGCCAAGTGAAAACTCTCATTCAAGGTAACATGATCTGCTCCTTTAGTTAATCAACCCACAATGATTCTCTCCACACTACCAGGATTAAAAAAAAAAAACCGCTTAAAAAGGTCATTAGATTTAAAATAAAGATGCAATATTCAATCACATACCATATGAAGTAATAAATAATGTAAAGCAACCACTCAAATGTGTTTCATCGTTTTGTAAATTGAGCAAAGGTAAACATGATCAACTGGTGTACTTTACATATCAGCATGCTTGTTTGCACTGCCCACTAATGCAAAAGGACCAATGACCTGAGAACATTAATAACATGAGAAACATCATTCCACAATCGTCTTTAATTAAGTTAACATTAATGCTGAACTTCAGCTAGCCATAAAAAACTGCAAGGGTCAACTGCTCCTTTAGTCTAGGAGGTGAGGAAGAGATGACACTCCTTCACACTGACCATCTCGGAATGTGGATGTGCCCTCGGACAGCTGTGATTGGTCCAGCGGCAAAGAGGAGTGCTTTCAGGGGGACTGGTCGTACAGTGAGGAGGAAGTCACATGGAGCGAGGAGTAAAGTAAAAGTATTTCACTTTATTCTGTTCCCCCTAGATCACACCTACACACAATGCAAGCTACATTTTGAAATACATTGGAGATCAGCTTTAAAGAACTGTTCTAAGCACAGTTTACATTTAAAATGGTTCTCAATTGGTGGCACATATACCACAGCAGTATTTTGGACAGGCTCAAGGGGCATGGTTATAAGTGCAAAACAGTATATGTTATCATTTACAATCAAATTCCTAGAATTCAATAAAATCTGAAAAGAAGAGATACAACTTGTTGTTTTGCTAAATTTGCAATTTAACAATAAACTGTACTTAATAGGTTGATAAATATTTTTAGACATGCTTATAACTAGTGTAAATGCATTTGCTAGATGTAAGCATACTGTACAATAAGGATATATGGTCAATAACTTTTCTGCCCTGTTTAAGCAGTGTTTAAATCTTCTCCAGTTGTAGTGTCCTGTGATGTAGACACATATCGGAGGATTTTATTAAAGTAAAATTGAATACAGGTAACCCTCGATTTACACCAGGGTTAGGTTCCAGAAGGAATGGTTGCAAATAGAAACTGATGTAAATTGAAACCAAGTATATAATGTAAGTCAATGGGAAGTGAAAGTGTTAGGTTACAGGCCTCTCTCAAAAATTATGTAAGTGACATAATACACTATATTTAAAGCTTTGAAATGTATGTTATGAATGCCCCAAAGGAACCCCTGTGCCTCTAGCGTGGCTCTATGTGCCTCCATATCTCCAAGTGTAACCCTCGGCTCCTCCTGTGCTCTTCCATATCTCTGAGTGTACCTCTATGCTCCCCTGTATCTACAAGTGTACCCCTGTGCTCCTCCATATCTTCAAGCGTACCTCCTCTGATCCTCCGCATCTCCAAGTTTAACCCTGTGCTCCTCCAGATCTCCAAGTCTGGCCCGATGCTCCTCCAAATCTCCCAAATTTAACCCTGTGCTCCTCAAGATCTCCAAGTTTAACCCTGTGCTCCTCCAGATCTCCAAGTCTCCAAGTTTAACCCTGTGCTCCTCCAGATCTCCAAGTTTAACCCTGTGCTCCTCCAGATCTCCAAGTTTAACCCTGTGCTCCTCCAGATCTCCAAGTTTAACCCCTCCCCCCTTCAGATCTCCAAGTTTAAGCCTGTGCTCCTTAAGATCTCCAAGTTTAACCCTGTGCTCCTCCAGATCTCCAAGTTTAACCCTGTGCTCCTCCAGATCTCCAAGTTTAACCCTGTGCTCCTCCAGATCTCCAAGTTTAACCCCTCCCCCCTTCAGATCTCCAAGTTTAAGCCTGTGCTCCTTAAGATCTCCAAGTTTAAGCCTGTGCTCCTCCAGATCTCCAAGTTTAACCCTGTGCTCCTCCATATCTTAAACTTTAATCCTGTGCCCCTCTATATCTTCACGTGTACCTCCTGTGATCCTCTGTATTTCCAGGTTTAACCCAGTGCTCCTCCAGATGTCCACGTGTACACTTGTGCATGTCCAAATGTACCCTGAGGTGTCTGTGTATGCCCAAGTGTACTCTTATGGTCTCCTGCAGCTCCAAGTGTACCACCTGTGCTGCCAGCATGTCTCTATGTGCCCGTGTACATCTCCAGGTCTATCCTTGTGCCACCAGCACATGTCCATGTGTGCACGACCATACCTCCAAGTGTCCCTCTGTAGGGGTCCCACAGTTCTTTGAGCCCCTTCCTGATCCGCAATTCTCCAACTGTGCCCCGATCTAGCTGCCAGAGACTCTGCACAGTACTGTACTGTTGCATTGTAGCCACCTGCAGTTGTACTGTGTAGCGTTCCCCTGCGTATCCTTAACCAGTTGACATCCGCGGTGTTAAACCCCCTTCCCATCCAGGCCATTTTTCAGTATTCAGCGCTACACTACGTGGCCCTGTTTCGATGGCAGTCACGTGACTCCCTGTAAAGGGCGCTATTTTGAATTGGCGCAAACGGAACCATTGCAAAATGTGGGCTACCTGTACAAGATTGTATTAAAATACATTTACCCTTTCACTACCAGGCCTTGCACTCCACTTTTACCCTCAGCTGTCCAGACCATTTTGCAATTTCTCACTTTTTTTTCCCATTTTTCATTTACAGCTTTCAGAGTTTGTAAAAGATGGGCACCTACATACATACATAGTAGGCTGCATTTTGTGTTTTTAGTACTTTGGGTTAAAGAAGACTGCGGCATCATGAAAAAGTGTGAGGTGATTCAGTCAACCTGTCCATTGACTACTGCTTTTACCATGATCTAGTAAAATTGTGTTTGCACTCTACCAGTGTGATGAATGTTGTAAGTTACTACACAACCATTTCAGACATGTGGAGACATGATTGGGCATTCCTTCTAAAAAGAGGATGTCAGGTAAATCAAATACGACACTGATAGAGCCCAAAATACTGCTGCCCTTTTCAGTACTGTAAGGGGAAGGAACAGCCCAAAACATTCTATTGGGCTGTTTGAGTAATCTTAGAGGTCAGAGCCAAAGTACATTTTAATTGCAAGCCCAAAGATCACCTGATGGTCTCCAGGCAGGGGCTATCCAGAACCTGCAAGCAATAGCCTATGCAAGAGACATGGCAGGAGCTGAATTTAAAGAAATGACTGAATTGAGTAAATCAGCTCTAAGGTTTTTATGCAAGTAAACCATTTGATATGAACAATGTTTTTACAAAAGCAGCAAAATATAATTGCCCACTAGAATATATTAGTCCAAAGTTCTTAATTCATGCCTTTTCTAATACCTTACTATATAAACAGCTATACTGTTAAAATGTGTGCATCGTGAGGCAGGAGCTGATGATTGTTTATGTAGACAGTTAGGTTTTAAACACTTTGACAAGAAAAGAGGATTATTCATGTGGCCAGCTAAGTTTTGTGAGATATGAGCAGAACAAGGCAGACTATGGTCTGGAGTTCTATCTCTGAATGAGTCTCATAGAAAACGGAGGCCATGGAGGAGGAAAGAGAGCAGAATGAGACATGACACAGCAGAAGGCATGCCTCCCCCTCCTGCCTTCACAGAACGCACCTATAATGGCATCACTTTGTTAGTTGCAATGGCCCAGTTTGCTATAGTTTTCTCTAACATGCTACCTGGTAGTCCAAAATGATAAAAACTAAATATTAATAAGTAATATTTCATACTTTCTTCTCTTAGAAGAGTAATTACAGAAAAAAACACAATGTGGGAAAATTATTAAAAATGGAGCAGACACAGTGTGGAGCAGTTGCACATGGCAACCAATCAAATTCTCTCTTCAGTTTGTTCAGTTAGGATATGAAAATGAAAGATCAAAGCTCATTTGTTACCATGCACAGCTGCTCCAGATTTTGATCAATTCCCCTCTGTATATTCCTTTAACACTGCCACTGACACTCTGGTACTTTTGATTAATATCTCTGAGAAAACTACAATTTTAGCTGATGTTCTTCCTTTTCCCAGCATCTAAACCCACAGATGTTAATCCTTGGAATTAGGCAGTCCCCAGGGAAATGCATTGAAATAATGTTTAGAAAAGCTCTCTTTTATTCACAAAATATCAGGGCAAAGAAATGGAAACCACAGACACCTCCAACTGGTTTTGTATAGGCACATTAGATCTAAATAATTACAAACTTAATTCCATAAAGTTTTCTTAATTCTTGCACATTACATACGTATGGTGATGTCAAGTGTATGAGTGTGGTGGGTGTGTTAGGGGAAGGGTGTAAATTATTTTCACTCTCCAAAACTGCATTTGAAGCAGGAATAAGATACTTGGGTTTCTATGTAAAATAAGAACTGTTCTATCCTCCAGACACTTTCATACCACTGACACCTGAAAGGATTTTCATTGCGGATCTCCTCTGCATGAGTTTCTTTTTACAGTGTGTGATTTTCACACTGTATGAGGGAATCCGCTCAGATATTCAGCTCAGACACACTGTCCGTTGCTGCATTAGAAATTTGAGATAATTGTGCTGTATGAGAGCCCAGAAAGGTTTATGCTGAGGTGCTTTGGATCAACTTACCATTATCTAGTTCAATGCAGGGGTTGTATACAGCCATTGGCCTTTTGTTACGCTGCTTCTTTGACTGTCTGGGTGGAGCACGTGGAGAAATTGAGGTTGTCTCATCTAAAGTGTCATCAGGAAGGTTTTTGAAAATCTGACAAAAGAAAAAAAGATATTTACTGCAAAAATGTTTTTAAAAATCTTTAATATGCTTACTTTTAATAATACCTTCTTGTCTAATTTTTATATGTAAAAGTACATACAGTGCACAGCTTTGATTCTGGTAAATGCTAGTCTGCATGTGTATGTACACAGCAAGCATTTACAAAGCTCAAGTGTTAAACTGCTTTCTTGAAACTTTTAAATCCCAGTATGGGAATGTTTAATATACATCTTAAAAAGGGGAAAAAATAGAAGTTTGGGGTTAATTTGACTTTTTAAGTTTATAAGTTTCTATATTAAAATGTCATATATATAAACATGTTTGTTCATATATATAAAAAAAACATTACAGAGTTCACCCATATTGCAAATTCTACAAAGCATTAGGGGTTTTCTAAAACGAAAGTACAGCAGAATCTGTTTTGTTTCAGACTCCTCTTCTGTGATTGAAACTCTGTGAAACCCTTCCGCAGTATGTGTAAATTTCAAAAATAAATAAATAAATTGTAAAACAGTTAAAGCCTAATCCCAGTAACAACTGTTGTTTTAGTTTTAAATGGAGAGGATAAAAGGCATTGAACCCGTCAGGTTTTTGTTATGTGTTTTCACTGACAACACTAATGTTGGGACAGGTAGTGATATAAATACTAGTGATGTAATGTTGGAACAGGAAGTGATGGTAAATCTCAGCAGTTAGGGCACAGACTGCCACAAAACACAATTTTTCAGTGAAATGGGAAAGCATTTGAACTCATCCAATGTCATTATACTGATCTGACATCATGCTCCACAGTGACAACCGCTCCCCTCAGTACTTGTCCTGCTGTCAAAGGCTGTCAGAAGGACATGAAGTACAGTGAAATCTTGCTTTTAGGCCCCATTCACACTGCGCGATATCACGCAAATGCTTGCATTGAGCAAGCTAGAATCGCAGCAAAATCCGCTCCAAAAAGGGTCCTGCTGTAGCGACGCACGACCCGCGACAGCAGGACCCTTTGCCCCATTGCCAAGCATTGGAGAGGGATATCGCGCGGTACATAGCCGCGATATTGCGGGAATTACCGCGCGATAAATCGCTCAGTGTGAACGGGGCCTTAGAGTCACGGTCAGCAATACAAGTTTAAAAGAAGTATTTACTTTTTACAAATTTGATATTTTAAAGCATGGGGAAACAAGCATAGAGCACCATCTGCTGGCTGAAAATGTAAATATGAACTATTTATATGAAACATTTAATATTTACTGGACAAAAAAAAAAGTTCAAAAGCTAAAGCCCTTGTGAACTAGGTTTAAAGACATAATAGCTATTAAATTGTATGTCAGGGCAAAAAAACCCCCCAGATTTAGCACATCTCTAAAATACATGTACACCTTGCCACGCTTTATTTCTTTACAAATGCTGCACAAGTACAGAAAAAGCCTGTTCATCAGACAGAAATCCAGTGAGTTCCTAACTCTCAAACTCTGTTTGATCAGTGTTGTCAGCACTTCTTGCTGGAATACAGAACTCCACCTATCTGCCATCTCCCTCTTTCTCTTTCCACATGCATACATTGATTTCTTTTCCAACAAAACAGTGCTGGTGCCTTGACCACCAAGAGCCTGTTCACACATGTCAATAGAACATACAACAGCTACCCCTGCAAGGTTTTTACAAGCCTGATGATGATGTCACAAGGAGTAATAAAGGTTGTTTTTCCCCCCTACATTAACAAAGGCAAAAGGAACAAATAATGCTAGGACACGGTCTATAGTGGGAGAGGGAAATTTGGGGGTACATTAGACTAATGCCTGGTTATACACTCTAAAAAAAAACATGGTAGTGAGTAGTGATCTTATTCATATGTACATCACGCCATGAATACAGTACATCTCGTATTCATCAGCTATGTCATGTTTTAGAGCAGTGGAATTTTTAGATGTCAGTAATGTTAAATTAATACAAGGTTACCAGAAAGTGAAAATAAAGTGTGTTTCACGTTGTAATAATAAAATGAATAAAGTAGCCCATATTGTAAAACAAAATACTTGAAAAATTACTGTAAAGTTCAATTATCTTTATGAAAGCACTCTCTGACCTTGTGCTTTCAAACAGTTACAAAACCCATCTGTAACCAGCAATAACCTTAAAATACACAGATACAGGAGACGTATTGTACATTAGGAATTTTTTACATTGCTAAGAATGTTAACAAAAGAAAAAAAAAGATTTTTTTCAACCTACAGGAAAAAGGAAGTCTACTCTCCAAGCATCACGTGTAAAGCAGTGTAGCCATCACTGTACGATATGCACTTTATAAAGGGTGTTAAACACTACGAAGGCCTAAGTACTTGCAATTCATACAGTTGTAACTATGGATAACTGGGACAGAACTAAATAGATAATCAGCATAACAAATATATAGTTTTAAGCCATATAGGGACATAAGATAACATTTCCAGGCTGCATGTACAGTCATGTAAAAAATTAAGCACACTCCATGGAAATTGTTGACTTTGTCAGAATATCTGAACACGCAGATAGATCTTTATTAAAAAAAAGCAGACAGATAATGGTTATATACCTAAATAAAAATGTGAAAAAAATTGCATTTTTAATAATTTACCAAAAATATAAACAGAAATAAAACGGTGTACTTTTTAAAGCGTAAGTACACTCTTCTCATCAAAAGCTGATATGTAAACCGTAGTAGAAATGACTTCTTGTAGGCAATTACATTTTCACCACTTCTCCATGCAAAGTTCCTTCAGATTCAAGATGTTTCTGAGTTTCCTTGCAGGAACTGTCCGTTGCAATATCCCCCTACAAAATTGCAATATAAATCAGATCAGGGCTTTGACTAGGGCATAACCCTCTATTTCTTCTTTTTAAGTCATTCCTTGCGTGTCACTAATCTACTAACTGACATAACAGTCTGGATGTCACAACATTTCTTAAAACTCAACCTTTCAAAAACTGAGCTCATGATATTTCCTCCCGCCCGTGCATCTTCCCCCAACGTTTCCCTTGAGATTGATAACACAACTATCCAGCCCTCCCCTCATGCCAAGGTCCTAGGTGTCATCCTTGACTCAGACCTCACCCTACTTTCCCACATCCAATCACTATCCAAAACCTGCCGCCTTCACCTTCTTAACAGCTCCAAAATACGCCCCTTCCTCACCAATGAAACCGCAAAATTACTCATCCACTCACTTGTCATTTCTCGTCTTGACTATTGTAACTCCCTCCTCATTGGCCTTCCACTACACAGGATATCCCCCCTTCAGTCTATCATGAATGCAGCTGCCAGACTCATCCACTTGACCAACCGCTCAGTGTCTGCAACCCCCCTCTGTCAATCACTACACTGGCTTCCACTCGCCCAGAGGATAAAATTCAAAATATTAACAGTCACTTATAAAGCCATCCACAACTCTGCCCCCGGATATATCTCAGACCTAGTCTCAAAATATCACCCTAACCGTCCACTCCGCTCTTCCCTAGACCTCCTGCATTCCAGCTCCCTAGTCAACTCCTCCCATACTCGCCTCCAGGACTTCTCTAGAGTCTCTCCCATCCTCTGAAACTCTTTACCCCAACCTGTCCGCCTAGCTCCCACCTTGACTGTCTTTAGGCGTTCCCTAAAGACTCATCTCTTCAGGGAAGCTTATCCCACCTCAACCTAATCACTGAACCTTCACATTCTCAAATAATTCATACCCACACAGCTACCTCCTCATGTATCATTTCCCCCTCCTCTTTTAGATTGTAAGCCCTCAGGGGCAGGGCCCTCCTTACCATCTTGTCTTGAATTGTATTGTAATGTCTTCCTTACTTTGTAAAGCGCTGCGCAAACTGTTGGCGCTATATAAATACTATGTAATAATAATAATAATTCCTTGGTGGATTTGTTGGGTGGTTCGGATAATTATTATTATTAGGGATACACCGATAAAATCGGCCGAAAATGGCACTTTTGGCATAATGCCAAATCTGAGTGTTTGTACCCGCTTTCCTTCCTGACAGCTGTCACAGAAAGCTAAGTGAGCAGTGCAGGGACTAGAGCTCAGCCTCCTGTGACAGCGCTGGCTGTCTCCGCCCACAGACCGCTCTGCCGGACTGTGATAGGAGGCTGAGCGGTGTGGGAGGAGAGACACCGGCCGCTCACAGCGCTCTCCTACCGCAGCACTCGGCCGGCTGTCACATTTTCTCTCCTCCCCGCTGGGACACAGAGCAGCGCCCAGCGGGGAGGAAAGAAAGCAGGGATGCGCCGATGTATCAGCAGGAAAATTGCCCTTTTGGCATTCAGTCCCTAATATGTGTGTGTGTGTGTGTGTATATATATATACACACATACATACATACACACTGTATATATGAAAAAAAAATGTGTAGTATATTCTACTGCATATTAAGACATATTTTTGTTGAAATGCCTGTTGTGGACATCTATTTATTGTGAATAACCTTGTGCTAGTGTTAAATGCATCAAGGGTGGGTCACTTGAAGGCAGAGCAAGCTGTTGGATCTGCATAAAGATTTTATTTATTGTGACTTCAACGGTGGGTCATGCTTCTTTCGCCCAGGTGGCGAAGCTTGAGAGTGGAGCGTTGATGATTTCCTATTGATCGGTTACCTTCGGTTGACTTGTTAGGCCGACTATTAGATCTATTAGACAGGATGCCAAATAATAGGCAGCAGAAGGAGTTTACATGGCACGTGTTGGATTCTAAGCCTGCATCAGGAAGTGCTTTTCCTGGCAGATCTCCTGGTAGGAAACTTTGCAAAAGCTTCACAAAAAACAATTTACTTAAGAAAACCATACACAGTAAGGCATTATACCAAACATACTGAAAATATATTAGGATTCCTTGGATCTTCTTCTGTACACATGGATGCTTGTTCATTGAATTTGTTCTGTAATATCACTCTACAAAATGAATAAAATTCATCCTTAAAAAAATTGATTTAGGGTTTACATATACTTAAAGAGAAGTATGAGGTGAGTG